GAATGTTCTGAAAGGAGGACAGACAGAAAAATCTGTTTTTCACAACCAGGTAAAAAGTGATGGCTGTTCACAGGTACTTTTGGCAGATTAATTGACCAGATTGTGGAATTTATAGTATTTAACTTAACCACAAAATATCTAATTTCACATTATTTGTCATAATAAATATTTGGCAGTAAGTACTGCATATTTTGGCTATAAGTTTATTCCTCTGACTTACTAATTTGATCTGGGAATCATGTCTGATGAACAGCTGTTTAAAAGAGGTTCCACTGCCTGGAGAACCATGAGTCAGGCTTGATGATGTATTGAAATGTATAACAAAAGAAATAATCTAACTGCATACTAGTTTGTAACTGTCCATTTTTATTTCTCACTTCTTTTAAGCTGTAAATAAATCGACAAACCTTGAAATTATTTTACATTTGATATTCAGAAACTCTGCAAAACATTCAAAGTTGGTTATTCTTAATATATGCTATTACAAATTAAAAGTCAGTTGATATTTGAATTAGGAAGCAGTTTCCAATGGAAACCAAATCCTAACATGTCTAGTTTTCCTGTGGTCAACAAAATCCACATCAAATGACCCAAAACTAACAATCAACATGATGAGAGTTACTGAAGCTTAGAAGCAGTGGAGTTTCTTTTCACTGTCGCAACTTCACTGGCTTATTCAGGGTCAAAGGTTGAAATAAATGAATATTGACTTGAAGATGAGGTCAAAGGACATATGAGGCTGATGTAGAGATGAACTCTGTTAAACTCAGACCAGCTCCTTCTTGATGATGCAGCAATGTCACTGATCCAGGTGTTTTCAGGACAGTCTGCTGCTGATAGCTGCACTTTGTCCACAGTCATCATGACCAAGCTCTTTTAACGATGACACCAATCTCGTTCTGAATCCAACATTTTTAGATTTGGTTTTTATCTCTGATGCACTGATCACAGTTTTCTGGCTGAATAACAATCTTTAAAAAAGCCGATTTTGGCTGATACCAATTTTATTTCTTTGAAATGTCTCTAAATATAGCGACAGAGTTGGCAACATGGGAGTGTTGTAAATATTGATTTTTTTTGGTATGAACAGCGATATAAATATTGGATATAGACATCGGAGCATCCCTAGTGATCCATGTTGGTTTGTCACACCTTTACCTGTGCTGATCCACTGGCATAAAATCAGGGGATCGATTTGTGCCATGACAACCACTCAGTAAGTAACAGAAAATGTTTAAAGGTAAGAAAGTGTTTTTCTGGATTATCAAAAACGCAATAATTACCTGTCTGATAGACATGGTGCAGAGGATGTAGAGGAAGATAAAGGAGCAGTCAGTGTAGTCTTCACCCAGCAGGTTACGGTGCGACAGCCCCTGAATGTAGGACAGCGGCACAAATGGCAGCTTGGCCACAACCCTTCCATCAAAACTGCCAAGAAGAAAAACAACAAGGTGTTTTAGTTTGTTTATTGCACTTAATTAGAAAACTTGTATATTGTTTCATTTCTAAATAGTTATTTCCGTTTTGATCAAAAGTGGAGCTTACATGGAGTTGAACATGCCCATCAAAGCTGTGAAGCAGAAGCCAATTGCGAACATGGACTTCATGCGCACCTAGGAGCAAGCACACTTATGAAAAACAATATTGGACTGAAACTACAGGATCCATGTTGAAGAATTATTCAATAAGACAAGGACAGGTTGGCTGTCATAGGCCTCACCATGGACAGGTCTCTGTTGTTGTTCTTCAGCTTCTCTTCCTGTCTTTCTGTAACAGAACACGGTTTATTTTAGAGCTTCACAGTACTCTGGGATACGCCATCACATAACGTAATCACAGAGTGTTGTAGAGTGTCTTAAGTTTTTCGTATCATGTAAAGCACTTTAATTACATATAGAAATGATGGGAACATAGTGATAGTTACAGCAAATCAATGCCATTTGTGAACTGGTTCCCATGACAACTCGTTGGCTTCTTACCGATTTTCTTCTTCTGCTGGCGTCCTGCAGACTCGGTAATGGTTTCTTTTTTCTTTTCAACTGAAAGCAGAAAAACAAGAGTAAAGAACCATCTATAGATGCCAATCTCGTCAGATAATGGTGACCAGCCCTAGAGCACTTACGCTTTTTGCTTTGTTTTTCCACCTCAGCCTTTAGCCTCTTGTACTTTTCAGTTCGATATACTAAAACCCAGGTGATTCCTGCCAACAGAGTAGGATATGTACAAATGTCACAAACTGTATTCTCTTTCTTCCAATGAATGATCACTGAACAGTAGATATCTACTTTATCACATACATATTTATAAGGATTCTTCTAGTTCACTAAGCCTTTGTCTAGTGTTTTGAACTGATCTCAATGTCTAACTAATCAATGTATTGCACATATTTCTGGCTATTTCACAAAATATAAAAATAATCTACATTTTATTCCAATGTTGATATGCATATTACATATTATGTTGCTGTCCACTTTTTCCAGTTTCCAGTTTGATTTACTGTAGATTTTAATTTCATCTACTGGTCCTATATCTGGCGCCAGACCATCATACCTTGACACGCCCGTCACAGGTTCGAGTCCGGCTTGTTGACCTTTTCAGCATATCTCTCACAACCCATGTTCCTGTTATTTTACTTTCAAAGGCCAAAGAACAACAAAGAACTATCACTTTTATTATTATTTTTTGTGGGTATCTGCGTACTTCTAATTCTCTCTCTTTTGCAGCTTTGCACGGAGAATTTCCAATTGAGCAAATAAAGAATTCTATTCCGTTTATGAACTATAATATATGGTTGTTAATTCGTCTTTAACCAGTAGGGTGTGCTCTGTTCACATAAATCCTACGAAAAACCGATTTGCGAGTCAAGCAGCTGAACGGATTCTACAAAAGATGAATGGAGTCATGCCTGCACTTATTGGTAAGCCATTAAAAACTGAGAAGAAGCCATATTTAACAAACTATCAACACATTCAAATACATGTTAAAGCATTAAAATTTTGATATTTGCTAAAGCTCTGAGACTTTTGTTTTGAAATACTAACCGGAACCACAAGGTGGTAGCCATTAGCCTTGTCGGCTAGTTTAAATTCAAGCCTCAGTACTGACTGTAGGTCCAGAAAACTTTAGAAATCACCCATCATACCAAGGTTGATATAATTTCCACGCCCAAACTCTTACAGGAACAATATATATTTATACAGGGTCGTGTCTCTGAACACTGTTAAACACGTCAGCTAGCTTAACGAGGATTTCCACCCACCTTCTGCTAACAGCGCCGTACAGACAGAAATAAAGACGATCAGAATGGTGTCTGCAAACATGGTACTCATGGTGGTTTTCCGGCTGACGGAGCCGCTTCAGAACCGCTTCACAGAACAAAGGCCAGACACAAGTTAAAGCCTGAGCGGCTCCTTCTCTCCACTGAGCTTCATAGAGCTCTGTCAGCATTACACATAGGTCATACAGCTGAGAAACACTTCCGGTTTATTCACGCTTACGAACACGCGCACAAACACAAAACAGAAAACCTTTTCGGCCAAGAACTTGTCTATTTTTAGTAATATTATGTTACAGATAAACACAAAGTAGCGCATAACTGTGAAATGGAAAGACAATGGGAATTTCTTAAATTGTATTTTTTACAAATAATGATCTAAAAGGCGAGGCAAGCATTTCAGTCCCTTTCACTTTGAGGAAGGATTAAAAGTGATTTTTCTTTCACTCAGTTGTTACTGATTACTGTGTTTTGGCATAAGTCCATTAGTTTTGAGACAAACTAATTGACTTCTCAGTCAGGGTTACTGCTTACTCCTTGTCAAGAATTTTAGTTGAATTCAATCTCCTTCAAAGCCTTATTTTTTAAGGCTTTTAAGGAGATCATCAGATATGATAGACCCTATCATATCTGATGATTAATGCAACTATGGCTTTGTGATGATGAAAGATAAAATATCTCTTCAGCTTTCTAGGAGAAAGCTGTGAGGTTCTACATCAAAACTCACTTATATATATATATATATATATATATCAAGAAATTGAAAAGAAAAAAGATCTGATTAATTGTGGTCTTTCTTTACATTTTTTGTGGATCTTTTAGGGGCGATTGGGCTGTGTTTCTAGAATATATTTAGCAGAAAAGTATCATTACTCTAAATTCCTGAGATCTGAATATTTCTAATAGAACACTTTGGTCCCAGACTGCAGTTTACTGGTAACTCCTGGAGGTTTCTAAAAGTAGAATGGGAGAAAGATCTTATAGTTTCAGGCTCCTCACCAGTCTACTAAAGTTTATAGTTAGATCTCTGTAGCCACAGGCTTAGACTGCATATTGACAACTTTTCTATATTCCCCTACTACTCTCCAAATTTGCAGTATTTGCAGCTACTGCAGATTTTAACTGTACTGTCTGTCTCTTCATAGAATCTACATCTGGTTTAGCTGCAGCACCTGGAGGGTTGTTGCTACCAACAATTTACGTTCTCCTTCTGTCTTTCAGTCCTTATTATTATTATTATTATTATTATTATTATTATTATTATTATTATTATTATTATTATTATTATTGTTGTTGTTGTTGTTATTGACATTGAGAGTACTCCTAGATCAGTGCTGATCAATGCTTATGGTTTTCCTCTTCTTTTTGAGTGCAGTCTTTATCTTCTTGGCTGCTCACACTGAGCCTTGTTCTGCTGGAGGTTTCTTCCGGTTAAAGGGGAGTTTTCCTTTCAACTACCACCACATGCATTATTATCAATATGAGGGATTGCTGCAAAGTCAATGTCTCTGTGCGGTCTACTGGGTTTTCTACAACCATTTTAACAACTTGAAAATTAAACTGAACTTGTTGATAATAGGATCAAGTTGGAATGAACTGACCTGACTAGGAGTCGTCTTTTTTTGTAAAGTGTCTCGATATAAATAAACTGAATTGAACTCCCTCCCATTTCCTGTGATCTGACGTCACTATCGTCCTCCTCACCGTCACCGTGATGAAATAGGAGAAGTGCGCGCGCGCACACACCGGCATGCACAGACCGCATCGGCAGGCAGATGAAGCATGCCGGGAGACAGCGAGACAAAGCCGGGTGACCCGGGCCAGCGTGACAGGCACCGGCAGCCGTTCCTGATCGGTGTGGCCGGCGGCACGGCCAGCGGAAAGGTTGGCATTTCCATCACAAGAGCCGAACATGCTCTTTGTTGACGTTGTGATCAACAAAGATCACGTTGTGATCGATTCTTATTTTTTGTTTGCTTGCTTCCCTTAATTATTTTTTCTATACTTTGCATCATCCTTAAAGGTGTTGCTTGATTAGTAACATAGAAGGGTAATTTGCAAGGTGTATATATATATATATATAAACATGAACAAAGAGAATGACCAGATTTATCAGCAGCAGCTGTGCAGAGGCTGCAGATTCAGTCAAATCAGAATAAACTACAACACATATCTCTCCAGGGAGTAAAATGTGTTACTTTAGAATAAAATGGAGGGATTTTGTTGCAGTGTTTATTATGGGATCATGTATTCCTTCTTCTTGTTTCTCATGGATCTACATGCACCGTTTCTGTTCTTCCTCCTCATAGCTTTATTCCCAAAGTCTACAGAATGTTGAAGCTTACAAGTCTTTCAGAGTCCATTCTTCTATAGAAAAGAAAAAGCTGCTTTGGTGCATGGCTGTGTTGCAGAAAAAATATTGCTTTCAAAAAGTTGTAAGTTGTAGTCGATTCAATCGGCAAAACTTTATTTGTGGTTGAACATTCAGTTGTTGGTGGTTTCTGTTTCCTGATGCTATGCGCCACTATCTGAAAGTAACCGTTCACAGAAACACCTGTTTCCATGTTATTCAAATGGGGGTTGAACTGTGTTTCTTCTTATTGTTTGTCTGCGAGCTGCAAAGATGGCTAAAGTTGCATTTTATATCAAACAATGTCAACTATGGATTTATTTAATGCTTGTTAAGATGCATTTATCTATTTTATGCACTGAACATAGGCAAAAAGTTTACTCTTCTCCTCTCTCCCCCATCTTGTAATGTTACCAGATTTGACATTGTTTTAAAGCTTTGTTGACATTAAGGGTATCAAGGAAAGTGCTTTTTTATAACCTGCTAATGTGGAAAGTTTCATAATTCTTGACTAAAAAAATTATGGACATTACGGGAAAGGGTGTAGTACAGACTGTAGTACAGATTGTGTGTTAGTGGGAAGCTTTATTGTATTCCAATCTGAAAATTGTGGGTTGGATTCCAGCATCCTCCTGTCACATGCCGATGTGTCCTTTGGCAAGGCACTTAGCCTCCATTTACTGATCTACATATTAGTAAATGAGGCCAGTAGATATTTTTTTAAATGTTGTGACCAGCTCAGATGGAATTTTATATGACTGGAGGAACAGTGTGTAGAAGTTTAACCTAGGAAGGGGTAGTCTGGCTGTCTGGCTCAGCTCTTCTGAAGTAATTTTGTACACCATGAACTGTTTGAGAACAATCAACTGTTTCCATGACATACTTCAACATAGCATGGACCTATACTCTAATTGGTCAATGGCCAGGGAACTCCATAGCGATCACACTACCTTCAGTCATTCGCACACTGATGGTGGTAAGGTAGTACATTGTAGTCACAGTAGTCTTGACAAAAGCAAGGTTACTATGCCAGCACCAGCACTACCGGGCCAGCACCAGCACTACCGGACCAGCAGCAGGTGAAGTGTCTTGCCCAAGTAGACAACGACTGAGACAGACTGTACAGGGGTTTGAACCGGCAATCCATGGGTTACAGGACAAACTCCTACCAGCATCCCAACCTTTGCTCTCTGGGCTATGACAGAAAACTCAGAGTGCAGGCTGTGACTCTGACAATTCTGCTTGGTGTTTATGTTCTCGTTTGGCCAGTCATCAGTGTGCAACAAAATCATGGAGCTGCTGGGCCAGAACGAGATCGACCACCACCAGCGCCAAGTGGCCATCCTTAGTCAGGACAGCTTCTACAAGGTCCTGACCCCAGAGCACAAGGCCAAGGCACTCAAGGGCCAGTTCAACTTTGACCACCCAGGTATTGCAGTGGTCTTCACCTCTTCATTAAAAGGAAAGATTCGAAAGTTTTTCACCCTAACAGATGGCTTATTCAACTGCGTTTGAGAAGTTATAGTTTTACTATTTTGTTCTTTCCTTCGGTCTAGATGCATTTGACAATGACCTTATAATTGAGACCCTTTGGGACATCAAAGAAGGAAAAACTGTCCACATTCCTGTTTATGACTTTGTCTCCCATTCCAGGTGAGTCTTTTCTTGACCTTACAATCCTACAACTCTGATAGCTTGTGTGAACTCGGGTAAAGGTAAAAATCTCAAAGCAGACCTTATATCTCATATGGATATAGTGAGACATAGCAGAAATGGCTTTAGTGCTTTGTGTTTGCTCTCTGTCCATCAGGAAGGAAGAGACGGTCACAGTGTACCCTGCCGATGTGGTGCTGTTCGAAGGCATCTTGATGTTCTACTCTCAGGAGATTCGAGACCTTTTCCAAATGAAACTGTTTGTGGATACGGACGCAGACACACGTCTGTCGCGCAGAGGTGATGTCATATTCTTAAAGTGAAAAGATGCTTAACTAAAGGTGCTTGGGCTGGTTTCTTTTTAATGTTTTGGGAGCCCCTTATTCCAGTGTGGCTGGAATAAGGACACACTGGCCTTATCCCAGAAAATGCACTTACTGACCCTCTAGTACTGAACTGAACAGCAGTTGCTTTCAGAACTTCCTTAGTTCTTCTTGTCTATTTTCAAGAAGGTGTATCATACAGTTGCTGCAAATATGTCTCTGTTTCTTGTTTTTAGCTGTTTGGTATGGCATCTGGTGAAGTCTTATGCTACCATGACCTTTTTTGGACTTGAATGTGTTGTATTGTCAGAAATGGTATTCTGCTCAACCAGTCTCCCTATTCTTTCCTCTGACATCAGCAATGCATTTTCACCCACATATTGCCCTCTGAACATTTCCTTCTTTCAAATTGGTTCTCAGAAGCTTGGAGAAAACACTTTTTTTTTCTTTGTCTCTCTTATTTAAAGTGTTACTCTAAGACTTTATTGTCCAGACGGCTAGAAGCACTGGAATTAGGAACCGTTACCAGTGTTTGTAACAGAAAACACAATACTTGGTACGTATATTTGGGTGTTTCTGGTTTTTGAAGTTTGTAGACACAAACCAGATCCAGGTTTAATTAGAATTAACAGTTCTAACATGCAAACCAGAGTGTGCCCTGCAAGATGCAGTCATTTCCCTTGAACATTCTCACATTGTGTCATGTTGTAGCTGTTGAGGAGTTTAAAAGTTGCATTGGCAGTGGTCACTGGATTGTACAATGCTTTGCACCAATTTTCTAGAGAAATCTTTCCAATAATGTATTGAATTGACATAGTTACTCACAGCGACTGTATTTATGCAAATATTTTGCTGGAAAATTACCCTTGTTTTTAAAATTTCAAGGCCTCGAGGTTTATTTAAGCACAACCTTGACCGGTAGTGTGGATTGATCAAATTTATTCAATTCCTCAAATTGGCATTTTGGTGTTTTGCACTGGATGTTTTGTCATGCAAAGTATTCCTGCAGTTAGCTTTGTGGAAAATCTTCTGTCTGTGTGTCTCTCAGTGCTGAGGGACATTAGTGAACGCGGCAGGGACCTGGAGAGCATTCTAGCCCAATACATCAACTTTGTGAAACCTGCGTTTGAGGAGTTCTGCCTGCCAGTGAGTGTGAATTCTGCTCCTGCCATTTGCATTCTATGACCATGAATATGGACTACAACCTCCCTCTCTCTGTTTTTCCCCTTGCTGTTCAGACCAAGAAGTACGCTGACGTGATAATTCCTAGAGGAGTTGATAACACCGGTGAGTACTTTGTGTTTTACCAAGAACTTGGATTGGTAACACTTCACTAGACTCAACAGGGATATCTTGAGGGATGCAGCTGTGTTTACTGTTTATCTCTGAGCTCACATTTTTTGTCTCTGGGAGCTAAAGAAGCAAGATTAGGGACAAAACAGCATTGTCTGGGCTGAGAAACAGGGCATCTGTAACTCAGCAGGTGAAAACAGGATTTCTAACTTTCTGTCTGAATGAATTTTACCAACTTGCACCTGTTATTCTCCACATACAACTGTTTTGATAAAGAAATGCTGTACCTTCTAAAGATTTCATAGCCCTCACTCCTCACTTGTTCTCTATCCGTCATGTTTCAACTGCAAACTTTAGTGGTGCCAGTCAGTGACATGCGCCTCTTGTATTTTTCTCTGACTACAGTTGCCATTAACTTGATTGTCCAGCACATCCAGGACATCCTGAACGGCGGCCTGACCAAACGACCCGACGGGTGGATCAATGGATACGGGTTTATGAAGCAGCAGCAGCCCGGCGTGGAGTCCAGCAGCCGGCCCCACTGACCTGAAACCACGTCAGTCTCTAAGTGCTCTTCTTCTTCAGTGCTGAGGATCAGCAGTTAGAAACTGTAAAGGTCTTCCAGCGGTCTGATTCTCCTCTGACTAAAGACATCTGTATATATAGAGAATTTGATTTAAGCTTTTTTTTCTGATTCCAGTTTCCTCCTTTAGGTTTGAACTTTATGATCCAATTTCAGTTTGATTCAGGGCCAGAGCTGCTTGCCATTACAACAGAAACAGACTTGAATGTGATGTATAATCAGAAATGGTTTTCTGCTCAACCAGTCTCCCTATTCTCCTGACATCAGCAACGCATTTTCACCTACACATTGCCCTCTGAACATTTCCTTCTTTCAAATTGGTTCTCGGATGTTTGGAGCAAACACTTGGTTGTTTTTTTTTTATTTTTTTGTCTCTCTTATTGTTGTCTTTCTTCACTTGACCCTTTCTGGGAAACAAATATGTCCATATATGCAAGTTAAAGTTGAAATAAGTTGGTTTTATTGTTGCATTTGTTTTGCTTTACCTGTTAAAATGAATTTTGAGACAAAGGAACCAGTTTCCCCCTCAGGTCCTCTGATTTAACCAGGACCATTGCGTCTGAAACACAGATGGTTTTTGTCTTTACTTTATGGACCAGCTGCAGATGTTTAGTTCAATATGATTTGGACTCATTCACAATTAGAGCAATTCATTTGCTTCCATATTCTGATGCAGACAGATGATTTTTTTATTATTATTAAAAGCTACACTAACAGGTACAGGCATTAAATTTAATGTCTAATGTGGAAAGTGTTGCTGTAAATGTTCTTATACTTTTGTATAGAACTTTTTCTGATCTTCTCAGGTACTTTGCTGTTCTTTCTCTTCAGGTTATTTTTTGTTTTTGTTTTACTGTTGAACTGAGTGACATGTCACCTGTTATTAAAGCTCTCACGTTTTCACAAACATTACAGTCAAACTCACTTGGGCTAAGTTGCAGTAATCAGTCAAATTAAGTTATTTTCATTATTGACAATGCTTTAAACGCTGCTTGAAAAACTATGAAGCGTACAGAAAATGGGCTGACTCAAGTCTCTCTTCTTTCTTTTTTATAATTCTTGTTGGAATAAACTAAAGGAAATGCTGTATGCTTTATGGGGGTAACTGTTCCAGGCAGAAATAGATTTCTGGCTTCTTTTGAGGTCTGAACTGGAAAGTCTGATTTAGACCCACACTTCCTCTCCATTATTTTTCCTCTAACTTTTGCATAAAAGTTAAATATATGCTGCAGGTTCTTTGAGTATGTAGGAGTTACAAGAATGTCTCCCTTTTATTTATCAAAACATGTCAAACATTTATCTAATTTCTTTATTCTTATTTTTTTATTGAACTAAAACAACCGGTGAAAAATAATGGGAGTTCTTGACCAGGTTAAGAGAAAAATCATATTAAGTGAAAAAAGTTCAGATAGTAGTATTAACAATAAACTGTTACGAGAAGTTGTAACATTACCAGAATAATGTCATAATATTAGAAGAGTTAAGTATTCATTTTCAGAACTCAACTTTGCAAATAAGGAAATTATTTAATCTTTTAACACACCAGCATCAACTGATCAGTATCAGGACTTTGAAACAATTGTGCAAACGACAGCGCTGCCTCACTGGTCACATCAGATTTTGATGAGTATTGAAGATATTTTTTTCTCAATAAAACTCATTACCACTTTCTTCTGTAACGTTGTCTTTATTCTGACTATTTTCACTATGACTTTATTTTTAAATTAAAAATAAATGCATCTTGCCTTAATACTCTGCTGGTTGAATATGATTTGATTTGGCAACTAAGAAAAAAAAAAAAATCAGCTGATTCCGATCTCCGTATCTTTACACAGATGCCAACATACAGACAGAAAAAGGCTTCGACTGTAGGCCTGGTCTGGTGGATGAATCAGAGCGACATGTCACCTGCGTCTGTTTATGATATACAGAACATGTGTTTAAGTACAATTACCTTTCAAACTGTGGGTTCTTTTTAAAATGACATCCGCATGTCATCTGTTTTATGGAATTTACCACCAGTCGCAAACTCTATACTTTTTCTCCAAGATGGATGTTTCACACTAACCTCGTGATGCTTTAGAATCCATAATAGACCAAAAGAGGGTGCAGAATGAGATCACAGAACTATCCAAAAATACCCAGAATGTGCATCAGTTCTAAAAGATATTTCAGTTTTCTTGGGTTTCCTGTGATTTAACTGAAAAATCAACAGAACGTCTAGTTTGAATTAACGAAACTAAATAGATAACAGAGGAAATCTCTTTAGTTTTATGGGGAGTATCTATTCATTAAGTAACAAAAGGAGCAGGATAACCGAATATTTTTTAGCATTAACTGGCAAACTGAAAGCAGCATGTTTAAGAAGCTACCTGAGCAGATAGCCTGACTAAATAAACCATCTAACATCAGCTGGTGTTTGATGGTAAAGAGCGGAACGGCAAAAAAGGTAGAGCATTACTGTCAACAAGCAGGAGAGACTGCTCATTTAATAAACTCAAGTGTTTATTTTTACCATAATCAAAATAAACATTTCGATTGTTTTGATTTTCTGTTTTAATTTGGAAAATAGATTATGCCATGTTTTTTTATTTGTGTCAATACAGTGGAAGTGTATTTTGAAATGAATATGTTGAAACAATTCACCTGTGATCACATCTTTACCAGATAATACGAAACAAGATTACATAAGTTCCCACGTTTCAGGAGACATTTTAATGATGCACCGATGTGGTATTTTCTAAGCCTGTATCTTTGAAGGCTGATGTGTTGATTTTTTCTAGAGATGGTAGCATAAAAAAGGGGAAAAAAAACAAGCCAGGTTCTGAAAGAAAATAAAGGAATTTCAAGATGAGGTCCATTTATGCATCAGTGTGTATGTCCGTAAACTTTCCCTGATTTTTATGAACTACAAAAGGTTCAACAAAATAATCAGATATTAGTCGACCAAGGGAAAATCAACAGATTCTGATCATTAGCTGATTGGTGAGTGCATCCAGGTCTTCCTAAATCATTGAAATGCTACAAAGAACTTAAATTGTCCTTTGAGCAGATAACAGTACCAAACTACAGCACCAGAAATGTCCACCGGGTCTGAAAAGTTCCTGCAGGTCATTACTCCCCTTCCTGATGCGTCATTCCCTGATTGCGGCGTTCTGACCGAAGAGGCCGCGGTACAGTTCACTGCGGGCCTCGTCACTCATGGAGCTGTGGTCCACAGGCGCCATGAAGTTCACCAGCTTGCTGTGGACGTGGAATCGCACCTTGCGCCCCTTGCTGGCTTTGGTGTCCACCTTCTTCTTGATCTTGCTGCGCAGCTTCTGGATGGCCAGCCACTGCCTGCCCATGGCCACCTGGTCGTTGGGATCCGTGGCGCTCGTCTTGCGCTCGATTAGCTCCCTTAGGAGCTGGTGGTAGAAGTCGTCGTCGTCGAATACGTCCTCGTCCAGGTCTTTCAGGTGCGTGTTTAAGGTCGGCTGATGCTCGGCGACCTCTCCCTCCTCTGGGATGTTGTCGAGAATTTTGGCAGAGGATTCTCTCTTGCCGAGGACTCTGTATTCGGAGCGCCTGGTCTGGGTGCGACGCAGCAGCCTCTCTTTGTCCATCAGAACCTGCTCCACCTGGGTCAGAATGTTCCTTTCAAATGCTCCGAAACCTTTGCTGCTCTTGCCCGTGGTCAGGCGGGTTTTGTCGTGCCACTTCTGCAGCGTGGTGTTGCGGTAGGGCTCGAAAGCTGCAAAACGTTTGGCCATGAAGTCTGGGTACTCCGCCATATCCATCTTCCTTTTGGGCGCTCCGACGTCCGCCGATGACCTCTCCTGCTCCTCTCCACCGCCATCGCTGTTTATCTCCTCATCATCCTCGCTCCCCGCTGGAGGCCTCCCCACGGAGATGGGGCGTGTGTCGGGGCTCTGGTACAGCAACTGGTCATGCAGCTCCAGCAGGGACCTCTGGAGAGCCTTCAGGGCCTTGTGGGTGTTCTTCAGAGCCCCGGCGTACTCAGGCCCTCCTCTCCTCTTGAACTCTGGGAACGCAGGTGGCTGAGGCAGCTGGTTGGCAGTCACCAGGGCTTTCTGGAGTTTGATTCGGCCCTCAAGCAGCTGGTCCCAGAGAGCCAGCTGACTCTTCACTGCCCTGCCTTTCTCTACCTCCTCGTCCAGTTTGTCTTTAGAGAACGTGTGGACAGCGTCCCCTTCCTGCTCGCCTTCCATCTCATCGTCCTCAGAGCCTTCATCCTCATCACTGCCTCCGGACTCCTCACCACTGCCATCATCTTCATCTTCACTCATCCCCAGGTCATCCATGCCTTCCGTCATTTTATAAAAGTCCACTTCAGGAAAAGTGGCGTCAGAATCCTTCGCCTGTGGTGTCAATTTAGCATCTAGTTTTGAATATCTACTCAAGTATTCCAGCTCCTCTTCTTCATTATCATCATTATCGTCATCACCACCCTCCTCTTCCTCTATAGAACCCTCTTCATCATCTTCCTCTGTGTCAACCTCATCATCCTCTTCTTTGTCTGATTCTCCAATATCCATAAGCAACTCTTTACGGGACACTGGCTTCCCCGCATACCTTCTGTCCGTGTCCAGCAGCAAGGAAGAGTTGCGTTTCCGAAGAGAACTGACCCCGACCCCAAGATCATCCTCGTCGTCCTCGCTGAACCTCTCGACCACACGGGCTTTGGTTGCTTCGTCTATATCGTCCTCTGGATCCGCAAACTTAGGCAACGGATTCAACAGGTCCTCGAGCTCCTGGGAAAACGAGCCCGCCATGACGGAGAGTTTATATTTTTTGCACGTGTGGAGCGGCTACTGATGAGATCACGGTGCGTCTGACGTTGGTAACGTGCGACGAAACCGAGAAGCATGTGTAAATAAACCCTGCGACTTGTCTCTCAGGGAACATTTGACCCTAGTTCGAGGCTGCCTCCCCCCACGCCCTACATTATTTAGTTAATAATAATAATAATAATAATAATAATAATAATAATAATAATACATATAGGCTATCTATCTAGCTATCTATCTAGCTTATGCATTCTTTCACACTTTCTGATGTGAATTTAGAATTCACGTATCCGGGTTTAGGTCAATTATTATTAATTATTTTTTCAAATAATTCCAAATGCCACAGATAATCATAGAAATTTTCTAAGGCATTTTTTTTTATTACTTTCATCAAAGTCAAACGTTTAAATACAGTAAGATTGCTGTGTCTTTAAACACAATTTGATATGTTTTTGGAAGCTTCTGGTATATGTCTTTTTATATAGCATATATATATATATATATATATATATATATATATATATATATATATATATATATATATATATATATATATATAAAATGTGGGTAATACCTTAAACACAACACCCCCGAGTACAAATGCGCTTTAGAGATCTCTACAC